CCCCAAAACCCCAAAACCCCAAAACCCCAAAACCCCTAAAATTACTTAAAGAATTGACAAACTGATTTATAAACTTTATGACTGACAATTACTTAGACCCAGACTTCGGTGACCAGTCGCCTCTGTTCAGCTTGTTCTCAAGGAAACTTCCATTGCCATCAGAGTCTTTCTGTGTAGGCCAGGGTATTAAAACTGACTTCAGCAACGACAGCTTCACCAAGATCGAAGATGTAGATAACCAGACTCTGAGTCAGTTGCTGGAAGCCAAGTTTAGAGATGACTGCAACATTCAGGTCAGCAAGAGGTAGGTGTCCCTAGCTGCTTAGCGTTCAAGATGCTTGTTTTTGAATATCTCAAGCTTATAGGCCAACAAATTTGTGATCTTATTTTATGAATCTTTACGAATTTTATAACTTTTGTGTAGTGAACTCAAGTGAATTAGAATCAAGCCTGTTGAAAGCTTGCTCTTCAACAACATCTCACCGGTGTGAAGCCCTGACTCTGAAACTGGGTTTACCTCACTTTTCAGTCAGCATAAAACCAAATCCACATTTCAAAGCGATGATGCCAACCCTACTAAACTTTGGTTCAGTCAGACTCAAAATAAGATTCATGAGCGACCACAAATAGATTCATGGCAACAGAACATCCAGAGGGTCCACACAGCTTCAATAGATAACAGAGTTTACTGTGAAGAACAGCTTGAACAAGATTCCGATGCTGATTTGGTCCCTGTAAACCCTAAGGCTCTGAGAAGAGGCCACCCTCTTCTCGAGCAACTCCCCAATTTGGGTTATCAGTCACCCAAAGATGCAATGAGCAAAGGTCTGGCGCAAGACAAAGACCTGGACGACTACATGTGGGAGCAAGACAGTAGTGAGTACTTCGAAGGCTGAAGAGAAATCCCTTGAGCCAAGCCAACAACTCAGGACACTGAAATTGTTTGGAAGCACAGAGAAGATCTGATGGACAAGGAAGGCTCCCAAGATACATCAAACTGCATCAAGGAGAAGAAAACAAATACCAAATCTGGCAGTGCCTCAACCTTGGGCTCTGGTTCTCGTAAGACAAGAAAGAGCAAGAGGAAGCCAAAACCCAATCCCAAGTTTGAAGATGAGGTTTGCGATCAGAGTCAGGAACTTGGCAAGTGCATGAAAGATGGCATGAAGATGTACTGAAAAGAGTGCAACAAGTACTTCTCAGCCCAAGGGTATGGAGGCCATCGTTCTCGAGTTCACAAAGGCCAGAACCCTCAATACCGTCAGAAGTTAGCCATCAGGAAGGCCAACGAAGCGAAGCTGGAACTCCTGAGGCAAGCTCAGTACTTGTATTTGATTCGGAATTGCTCAGATAATACACAAGGAACAACTCCTCAAGCTTCAAATTTAGACAAGGTAATCATCGAACTGAATCATCATCATTTGAATTTTGCAGGTTTGTTGTTAAATTTGAGAATACTAAAAACATTTCTTTATATGTAATGCTAATGAAACATAGAACACTGACGCACTCTCAAATACAAATTGTTCTTGGGCACCACAAGAAGCCAACTCCTGATCTCAAAAACTCTGCAATAACAAAAACGTGTCTTTGAAATCCATCAGCAGGACAGCTCTGAATCGTCTCAAATCAGAAATCTGTAACGACCAGGTACAAGTTTGATAACCTTTAGACTCTGCAAGCTCAACTCCGAAGAGTGGACTACAAAGGATTCTTAAAGCAGAAGAGGAAACAAAATAATTAGTTCAACTTCATAAATCTTAAAGGGGTTTTGGGGTTTTGGGGTTTTGGGGTTTTGGGG